TGGATTCCTGCATGTGTTCCTCAGTGTATGTCAAGCCACAGCAACAGACGGCCTTATATTACAAGAACAGGCAGAGAGGAAGGAGGAGCCCCCCAACACGTCCGCTTGGTGAAAGCAACTCTTCACCATACGGCAGCTGTTCACATTTCCTGCGTATTGGATGTCGAGTGGTGGCTATCGCTCATTTGCTGAGTGCATTATTAGCAGATGGACTTCCCGCTTAGCTCTAATATTGGGAAATGGGAGAAATGTGGAGAGCACTGTGGAGACACACATATCTATGAAGCAGCTGCTGTCGCTGCTAAAGAATTGAGCGTGTGTAGATATTTACTGCCGAGTACCTTCTGTTTGTGTTTCTCCGTGTCTGCATGCACATACCTCTATCAATACATACTGTATGTGAGTCCTGCATACAGGAGGGTATGTGATTTCTATGAATCTCTCTGTCTATTAGCAGTTCTGCTTGTGTGGGCCAGCTATGTGGCAAGAATTCCCCTTTGACCTTATCCATGCTTCAGTTATTCACATGAGGTTCCAGTAAATGCATGTCTGTCAGCACGGTACGTTCAGCTGCAAGAACCCAGTTGGATGACATTGTTTGTGCTGTTACAATGGATTTCATAGTGAATAAAGGCTATTTCAGTCATGGATTGGACACAATAACGACTTCAAGTATTATTAAAAACAATCTTTACCACCCAGTGTTTCACTGAAAACAGGCACAGATGCTAGTGAAATATATTGGAGCAGCAGTTGAATGAGTTAGCAGGAGCACTTTTGACAGCCTGTGATCAGCATTTGATTGTACAGTTATTCCTTTTTTGAACTTATTAGGGTGGGTTGAGTCTGGATGCTAGGTTCAGCCCTACTTTTTGGCTGCTTGGATTCTTTTCCCTCCAAGAGCAGAGCATTTTCACTCGATACACAGCAACTGTCAAACCGTTTCCCCTATATGGCACGTTCTTTAAAGCAACTATCAGACTAACTTTGTGCAGTAGTTTTGCCTTTGTCTTTCTGCTTGGATTGTACCACATTTGTACATTGGGTTGGACAATAGAATCTCTCAGCTTAGAAACTGTAATGGGAAACTGAAGTAATTTTGCAAATTGGGAGTGTCAAATTTAGCTAAAGAGAATGAAATCCTTAACATACAATAAATACTGAGCAGCAATTACTTGAAATCAAAGAAAGGAAAACTTTGGTAACAAAAGATAAAGTACAGAGCTTTATTAATCACTTGGTAAAAAATAGATTCATAAATTCAAAAAATTAATGGATGGCAAAAGTTTCTAGCATCCATTTCCCTCCACTTATCCAATTCAGGGTCACAGCTGAGCTGGAGCCAATTCCAGCTGTTATAGGGCAAGAGGAGGGAAATACCTTGGACAGGTCGCAGATGTAATGTAGGGCTAACACAGAGAGAACATTTAGATTTAACACCATTTAACCTACCTAATTAACCCACTCAAATACAAGGAAAACATGCAATATCCAAATAGAAAGGCCCTAGCATTTAAATTCAATGGTGCTATTTACCACACCACCCAGAAATGTTAGTAAAATATATCTTAAAATCAAATTGTTTGGATGCCAAGTATTCCATAATAAGGTAATTAGTTAAAAACCCACAGAACCACTTGGGTAGTTACTGTAATATTGTTTGTGTTGAATCAGGTCCAAAGGAGATCTGGAATGTTTTCAGGAGTCTTTATGTTTTCCTACTTAGGTCGTTACAGTTCATTATTCAAAGCATACAAGCATCCAGTTATTTTTTTCTCTCTCCACCATTATTTCTTTGCTTTCCTGAACTTAACCTGGCACACAATTCCTGGCAAAGGATGACTCATTACACCCTCTTCTTCTCTCTATCCTCCTTGTGTACCTTCTCTTAGCCATTTGTTACCTGGGTATGTAAACACGACCAAGCACTTCCTCCACGTTGCTGTTCCTAAACTATATAGTCATTAAAAGGGACATAAACCAGGCCACTTCCTGTGTATGTCAAGCAGCTTATGATGGCACAGGAACTACACCAAGGCCAGGTTTATCTTAAGTGTCTCCTGCCATCTGAAGACACATTTGTTAACTCGGTCAACCATCAAGAGTCCCGGACAATGGAACAGCACACTTAGAGCTACGCTTTCCGCTTCTTCCTTTAAAACAAACAGCAGTGGCAGAAGCCGAGGAGTGTGATGAAAAGGAGTGTTTTGATAAAAGGGTTCTCATACCCTGATGCCAGCGTTTTGGGCCAAAAACGGTTTAGACATTTGAGCTTTCAATCACAGAATGTTGGCTTCTGTTTCTGTGTTAGTGACAGTTTGTCAGACTTGACTGTTATAATAATGTTGTCTGTGGAGAATGACACAGATTAAGTGAATAAATTGAAATGAAGTTAACAAACCACTTGCAACATGAGTGGCTATTTTGAGGTTTAGAATCTGTTTTGCGAGAGTGTTCTAGACCAGCGGTCCTCAACCTTTTTTGCGCCACGGACCGGTTTAATGTCCAACAATATTTTCACGGACCAGCCTTTAAGGTGTTGCGGATAAATGCAACTAAATAAAATGATACGACCAAGACAAAAACTGTGGTATTTTGTAAATATAATAATAAACACGAACTCACTTTATTAGCAGCGTCCTCCTGAAATGCGTCAACCACATTGAGAGTAACATCCTCCTCTCTGCCCCTCAATGCTCTATGGTCCGCTATGGTAACGCGTAAATATTTCTTTCAAAATAAGGCACACAACTACAACATGGGAAAAGACCCAGGGGTTAATGATAAAAACCCTGAAAACGATACATTTCACACCCGAGCCTCAGCTCTCGTGGTCCGGTACCGGTCCGTGACCCGGGCGTTGGGGACCACTGTTCTAGGCCACTGAGCCATTTAATTCACTCAGAGTTAATAAATTTGTACTGGTTTAATGTAACTTCAGTAAAACATCAAAAAAAGGAAGTCACATTTCAGTCCTCTGGGGAATCTTCTATATATCCACTAAATGCTCCATATACCAAATGAAGTGTTGGTCCCTATGCTACTGCCCCTGATTACAGCGTTTGTCTTTTCAAGTAGCTGTAAAATCAATAATCTCAGCATAGCATATAAGCAATAAGCAGAGATGAACTGCATGAAGAGGTGGAACACAAAAAAAGAAAATATTACACATAGTACACATATAGTCAGACACTGGTTTTCTAATACGTTTCCACTCTTGTGGAAGCTTGGCAGCACCTCCACACCTCAGATATGAGAAACTGACTTGTTCTCTTACTACACACTGCACACTGATGATGTAGTCATTGACCTACAGGTTACCTGCTTTGGTGATTCACAGTGTTACAGGAGCATAATTAATTTGTGTGATTTGAACTTTGACCTCTTAAATAATCTAAGTCTAGGAAAATGTGCTGAGCAGAAAATCAGCAGGCATAGCTTACCACTAACAGCCCATCCTAGATAAAGATACAGGAGGGTTACTGCAATGACTCTTGGAAATTGGTAAACCAAAAAGTTGCAGAATGGGTACAAAAGTATATAGTAGGTTTCACTTTGTACACTCCAAAGAATCATGTATGGCATTCTGCTATTACTGCCAAATTTTCTTTGCTACATGTTTTTGAGTGTGAAACACTTGGGAGCTTTGATTGTCACACTAAAAAAAACCCCAGACATGCCAAAAAAGTTATAAAATGATAAAGCCATAGTGTTTCATCCATCTACATAAACAGTCGGTTTCAGAAAGCCTGATACTGTTTGTCCAGCAGTAGCAGAACAATGGTTTGTGATCCTGGGCTGCACTGCCCATGGTAGTCTTGCTGTCCTGAGAAGCTGCCAAATCATAGCCCTCTTTCAATAAGTGGATAATGACGTTCTGTAAGCATGGTGGCACCAGACACCAACTCCACGTGGCCTGGGCTGCCGTTGTCCCCACTTTGTGTCTTTCAGCTCATGCACATGAGTCAGCTGGACACTTAAGGTACAGCATGTCAGATCCAAACATCACAACACATGTCAGGTACTCCATTTGTAGTGATTATGTGCGAACATACAGGTACTGTCGTGAATTCCTGTCTGTTGTAATAGTGATCAGTAAAGTCAGATATTTGGATAAATACTTATTGGTATACACATGGTATCCCCTTTTGTCATATATGGGCACGAGATCGTGATTCATATGGCAGCCCAGATGATAGTCTCTTAATTTGTTATGTATATATACAAGTATAGGAATAGCTGTAGCAGCTATACAATTACAAAACCTATAATAAAAATAACAACTTTCCCCAAACTGCATATAGATCAATACATGTCATCAAAAAATAACTGTTCAATTCAAAGAAATGCATACTTATAAAGTAATAATAATAATAATATGAAAATGTCTTGGGCTGGAGAGGTGGGTCAGCTATAATTACAGGTTTAAATATTTTACCCCAGAACTTTTGGTTCTGTCTTGCACTCCTTTTAGCCACTCAGAATCATTTCAGGTAATTTGGGAGTAATTTTGAGTTTCCCAAAGGTAAATAAAATGAGACGTCATAAAAAGGAAATTACATTGCATCTCATCTGAACTACCAATTTTAGGTCCATGCATAATTTCATTTGATGTAATTAACGTACTGCACAGTGTTTTGAAGGCATATCATTCTGAGCTCTCATTTCCTCAAACCATTTTGTCATGCTACCAAACGCCACACTGATCCTCATAGTATTTTTGGCTAAATTTAAAATAAGCTGCATCCCCTTGGGATATAGCAAGATTCTAGATACAGCAAATCTGCTTTTGGTATATTCCCCAACACCACATTAGCTATTTTCATTTGAAAATGACATATACTCTAGCAGTAGGTTCAGCAGTATATCATATTTAAACCAACACAAAATCTGACATGATGTGCCCAGCAAGACCAAATCCATCTAAAAACAGCTTCCTTCCCAACATAAAGCTCCCTGTATATACTACAGCCAAAACCAGTTTCTGATGGGTTTCATACCGGGTCCTGCAGCTCCAGAATGATTGGATTGCCTCTCCTGGGCGTTTCATGAGGTGTACAGCTGAGGTGAATCCCACCGTGAGCTCTCATGCTTCATACTGAACCATCAAACAGTGGGATTCTTCTTCTGGCCATTATGGAGGCTTCAGTGGACTCATTTGGTACCCTTGCAGAGAGATTAGATGGGAATAGAGGAACAGTTATGAAAGATGAGTATCACAACAAAAACATAATGGACGCAGTGGAAGTGATGTACAAGACTAAGGCAAATGTATTCGGTGTTCCTGCAGGGGACATAGCAGCAATTCTACTAATAGTAAATCTGCTATTACTTATGCCACTATTAGAACCTCATTCTTTAAAATGTTGAAATTCAGTGATAACTTTGAGTATATATTATATTAAACTTTCTTTAATATCCTTTGCATTAAATCCTAGGCCTAGGACTTCTTAGTGCTGTAGGTTAAAACATAATTCATTGAAGGCCTCTCATAGGTTTGATAAGAAGGATTAAAAAATTAGATCATTTCATGGTGGTAATGTTTTACAGTACAAGAAAACACATTTAATTTTCCACACACCTCTGCAGAAGCCTTTGAGATTGTTATAAAAATGTAGCACGCTTGATCCTGCACACTGTGGCATCTCTGCTCTGTCTATCAAATAGACACATGGGCCAGCAGGTTGTTATACATTAATGATACAGTCAGAGCATATGCAAGTGATTCACAGCTTATCAAGTCCAGCTCTCATGATCTGTCTACCCAAAGCTGGACACCCAGGAACAACTTAGAAACACATTAAAATAATAAGAAATTTAGGGTCACATACTCATATGGGTAATAATTACGAGTTTAAACACAGTTTTAGTAGCATAGACACAGTTAAGTTTGTAATTTATATTTTTAGTATATTCTCTAAAAGCTAAAAAAAAAAGAAGAAAAAAGAAGGGGGAATTAAATGTGCATCTTTTTTGGTCCAGTATGGGTCTTTTGTTCAACACAGCATCAGCATCACAGTTTATTCCTCTCCTCTTCATGTTTTCACAGCAGTAAGCTGTTAATGGAAGCAGAGGCTGCTGGCTGTGTCTGGCAATGAAAATAAGACCCATGTAGGGAACCAGACTGGTGGAGATGAGATATGTGAGTGCATGCGATGCAGGAGAGCTCAGAGGGAGGGAATATTATCCATTTCCATTCTAATACCCTTTGCCATCTCCATTTGGTATTGCTTGTGGTGTTTAGCCAATAAAGAAACTTCTCAAGCATCAATGCAGTGCCTCTTTCTCACCACATTACAGCATGAAGCAGAAACCATATCGTAAATTTGGTACAAATCTGAGGTTAAAAATAAGTATAAGCGTTAAATTTAAAGACCTCTAAATCTTTTAATGTTGCCTTATACGCTTGTTTTGTAATTAAACAACTATGAAATCATCTTCTATGACAGTAGAGGGCTCCATGGAATAAAGTCTTTTCAAGATAACTGGTGATGATACAATGCATGTTTGTAAGCTCCACAGGCTGGATGAATCTAGGGCAAGAACGGGAAACACAGCGCTTTTCCCTCCATCAAGACTATCCCTGACTCACCCTTAAGCAAGGCTCTTTGCAATGGATGAGAAACGTTTTTGACGACACACCCTTACTCTTCATAAACATACAAGCTGAGGGAGCTCCACTTCCCTCAGGTTCCACTGCACTGACTCATTCTTTCCCACTGCCCCGTGAAGGTCCACGGTTGGAAACAGCATTCTAGCTCTGCGCAGACCATGACCCTTGACGGCCAGTGTGGAGTGAGAAAACAGCTGCTGCTTCGGGACGGAGCGCAGTCAAAATTGGTTTGTGAGATGTTAGATGGCTATTGTACAATATAATTAGTCCCTTAAGGAGAGGGGTCAGGGCTGTCAGCAGTAGGTGGGATGTTAGCATCAAATGAAAATAAATATCTTTGCCAATGACAGCAGCCACAACTACACCATTAACTGGAGATTTTTGTAAATGGCCCAGAAAAAGAAATATAAGAGGGAAAATGAAAACTGCAGTTTTTCTAGTCACATTTTTGCTGTTGTACAGCGCCACCCAGTGGTTAATGTAGTCCAGTAATGAACCAGATCATTGACAAGTTAAACCATGAGTGTATTATCCACAATTAAAGATAAAGAAATAAATCATAGTGCAAATGATTAGACAGAAAATAGCTTATCTTATTGCCTGATGAAGCAAGGTTATTATACTACTATACTTTTCTACTACTACTAAAATAAACTAAAACTACTTAAATAAAGCTAAAAAAAATCTAATATATAGAATATGTATATTAAAATGGTTGGCTTTGTCAACAAAACATGCATAAGGACACACTAATTCATATTTTTATTCAGATTTGGATGACTTTTTCACAAAAACACATTACATAATAATAATAATAATAATAATAATAATAATAACAACAAAGAAATGCTAAATAAAAACTAATAAAAACTAGACAGAATCTACAAAATTGGGAGCAACTAAATTAACACAAGCAAGCCCTAACAGAAATTTAAATGAAGTAAACAAAATGTTAAAGTATAATGCTCCTATGAGTTCATTTTACTCTCACCTAAACAGTAAAGGAGCTTAGTTTCTTGCTAATGCTTTATCCAGTCAGACGTCTAAATTGTGGATTTATTTTATAATAAACAAGTGTGCATGAGTTAATGAAAGACAGATCGCTCTGCTGAAGACATTAAACAGAAGAAGAAATGATAGGATCTGTAACTATAAATTTTCTCAGCCTTAGAAGGAAGCACTTTATGGTGATTCGTTTTACAGACCAGGAGCTGGAGGCTCCATTATCACCTTCCTGGATTAAGCTGTGACTGCTGACAGGCACATAGGGTGAATAAATGTCAGAGCACAGGGCTACTTTGCGGGTCAGATTTAGGCATCACAAAATGCTGAATGTAAAGATTTAGATTTATGAGCAAAGGCCACAAAAGCAGATGACTGATTTATGATCAAATTGCCATATTGCAATATGTGGAGGTGATTGCCAAAATCAAATTAATAACTTTATTTTCTGCTTTGCAAGACATGCAGCACAGATACAGCTATACCATGATCACACTCTGATCTTACTTTGCTGCAGCAGTCTCATGCATCTCAATGCACACTTGAAAACAATATTTGTAAGACTTTTTTGATATGCTCATAATGCTGGTTTTGGTATATTAATAATTACAATTTCATATCATCATGATTTCATATAGTATAGATCCTAAATATATAAAAGCAGTCTACAGATTGTGTTTCTTCTGACACATGGCAGCAGGTTATGTAGTGTGGAGTTGTGACTTTATAGTAGGGGGATTTGTTTAAAGTCAGCAGTAACATTGCCGGATAAACACACATAAGAAAAAAATATCCCTTACAAAAACAGCACCTGTATTACATCCTATTCATAACCACACATACAAGGCGTCAACGAGCACGCAGGGATGAAACTGTTACTGAAAGAAGTTCAGACTTGAATTATGGTTCTTTAATTTGTTACTGTTCAAAGGTGCAATACGTCAAAGAAAAAGCGCAAGGAGTTTTAAAAATCATAACGTCTCCCATAAATGCTGGGTACACATAGAAAAATGACAATTTTACTTTTCCTGGATGGCCACTGACTAAACCGTCGTCCTTCCTCAGGACAAGGTCAGTCCTAACCTCCTGTAATTATTCTGTGCATAATTAAAGTACTTGGATTATTTTTACATGGCCGTGGGACAAAAGTCTTACGATAACATCATGAACTCATCTGAAAACAAAAACCAGAGATCTCAGTTTGATTTCTTTCAGGAAAGCCGTGGTGGGTTAGAAGTTCGGAACGCAAGAGTTTATCTGTGGGGTAAATTTGCAGGCTAGGAAGAGAGGGGGACCACATTTATTTAGAATGAATAAACAAAAATTTACTTTATCAGTGTGTATATACAGATTTAATTTTCCATGACAGCCTCTGCACCCGTTGTGACCCCTTTACCACAGGTTAACATTTTGAGGAGAAGCTTCTCTTCCTGGCTGTAGCAAACTCTGTTGTCCACGCCAACCATGTAGCAAAGGCAAACAAACACCACATGGGAGCCATTTAAGAGGCACAACCAAGCAAAATGAGTCTTTAATAACACTCTGCGGAGGGCCTTGTAATTGCAAGTGAGTGGAACATTTTCTAATTATAATCACTCACAGGCACACTCACTCACAGGCACACACTCATTTCTTGCGCCTTGTGTAGCCTAGCATGCCCTGTTAGCCAGTAGCTAGCTGTGCGGCTAAAACCACATGAGATGTTGGAGATTGCAGGCTGGCAGGGTTTGTTGTGCTCCGGTTGGGTTTTGGGTCAAGGTTGGTTAGCTGAGTAAACACTATGTGAAGTGGGCAGAACGAGTGTGCTGTGAGATTCAAAACAAAATCAAGCAAAGTACAAATTTTCCTTATGTTTGGCACAAGTTTGAAATTGTGTTGTTTCTGGTTAGCAATTAGAGGATGTGACTGTCGACATAATTATAACTTCCTAATTGCAACTGGCGAGTTCCAAGTTGGATTCCAGATTGGAAAACAAAATTTTACTTTCTTTTTATTGGCATATTTCCTACCAGGAATTCCAATAAGATGTTTGTTTTTATGTAATTCTACCACAAGTACATATGATGATTAAACTGGTTGAGCTTGCAAAGTTAAGGCTGGAAAAAGCATCAAAATAGCAATATGGGTTGGGTTTTTTAACATGCTCAGAAAGAGTTTGGAAGTAGATATTTAAACAGGGGGTTTTAACCCTGTTAAAGGACTTCATTCCTCTGGATGTCTCTGTTGAGAGGTTTAACCTCTGCTGTAAAATCTGAGAAAATATTCATTGACATTGTCTGCAGTCATCCAGCACTACATCTGTTTTCTGAGCGCACAACAGTTTTTAGTTTTTTCCTCCACTGACTGTTGTGTCGCCTTTGTATCTGCTGCTCCACCACACAACAGCTTGAACCTGTCACTGTGAACTGAAAGCACATTCAGTGACCTTAAACCCATAGATCAATGTGCATTTTATCAGTAGCAGCTCTATTGACCTGGTGACTGAGAGCAGCAGTCTTCTTGTCTCAGGCAGAGTTCCAGTGGCTGATCTGCTCTGACCTCTTTGTCATCA